ATCTAGAACAGGTCAAGGTTAACATCCTTCAGGCCCAACACCAGATGGTTGAACAAGCTAACGATCATCGACGACCATCACAATTTGCAGTAGGTGACTTGGTCTAGGTTAAGAGTAGGGAGTTCGTTCTGGAAGAAGGGATTTCGAAGAAACTGTTACCCGCATATAGGGGACTATTGCAAGTCGTAGATGTCAAGGGGGAGGTAGATGGTCCGTCCTACGCTATTGAGATTTCGTCCCACCTGCATACATACCTAGTATTCCACGAGTCTAAATTGCTTCCCTGTATTACAAACGATCAATTTCCCTCTCGACTTTCCATAATCCCACAAGATATGGATGCAGGCTATGATGTATACCGAATAGTTGTTGAAGATGCTTTCCATACAGGACGCCGAGGGAGACCACAAATGCAGTATAAGGCCAGGTTTGCCTATCAGGAACCCAACGAAAACCTCCCTAGGGAAGAACTAATATAGACAACTCCTCACATTGTTTCCTTTTATGAGAGCGCTCAGAGAGGAATGAGCATCTATGATTGATAAAGATAGGAATTTTCTCGGACCTCTAAATTAGGCCGGTGGGAGTGAAAGGATTCACGCTGCAGACACACAGTCCCGGTCCCAAGGTCCTGATAAGTCCCAAGTCCTAGGATCCTACTATATGGTAGGTTGTAGGGTCTAGAGGCCAAAACGTCGTAGGCCGGTAGGTGTCGGTACCGAAGCGTTGTAGGTCGATAGAATTTCGCCCGTTACCCGACAAGAAAAGTCCTATATTTAGTTGTTACAATGCAGCGGCTCATCACTTGTTCAGTTGCGAGATGCGGAAGCGATACTACTGCTTGTGCATTACGGCAACTTGGGCACTGTGCGCGCGAACAAGAAGAGGGTGCTTGCGAGATACTCCATAGCTAGGTTAGGGGTAGTGCAGAAGGAGGGCGGCCATAGCCGCCGAAGTGTAAGCTTACCTGAGTGGATGTACCCAGGGTGACAATCTAGGTTACAGAGGGAGAGTGAGGCAAAGTGTGCCAAGTCATGAAAGATTCAAGACTAAGAGAGGGAGAAAGAGAAGAGAGAGAAGCCATATCCACTATCTTGTTGAGATTTGTTATGTGTGTGTGCGTGCGGCAGAGCCATCGGAGGCAATCATTCTTGTGTATTGATAATAATTTTGGATACGACATCTTCATGTGTTGATTGTTTCTTGGTTTGGATTCTCACGTGTGAACTTTCATGTGAATGTTTATTAATGTATGCGAGACGAAACTTGATGAGTACTTGGCTCGTTTTAGATTATTGCACGAGCGGTTTTTCGTTTCTTTTTTTCTTTGTTTTTTAAAGGTCTTGATTGACCACAGATCAGATATGAAACCGATGGGAACATATACTACACCTGATTTGGGGGTGGTGGTCGAGTCTCTTTCTCTCTCTCTCTCTCTCTCTCTCTCTCTCTCTCTCTCTCTTTTGCTTAGTATGTTTCATTGGACGGGGCAGGTCGGCATACCGGGGAACCATCGTACAAAATTCCCGTGCGGTAGAGTAGCAAAATCTCTCTCTCTCTCTCTCTCTCTCTCTCTCTCTCTCTCTGTCTTTTGATTAGTTTACTTTCATTGGAGGGGGCGAGTCGTCACACTGGGGGACCATCGTACAAAAGTCATTAGTGGGGTCCAGTTGATGAGTTCCTGTCTCTCTCTCTCTCTCCCTCTCTCTCTCTCTCTGTTTTGTATAGTACATTTCATTGGAGGGGGCAGGTCGTCATATCGGGAAACCATCGTACAAAAGTCCCGTGCGGTAGAGTAGCAAAATCTCTCTCTCTCTCTCTCTCTCTCTCTCTCTCTCTCTCTCTCTCTCTCTCTCTCTCTCTCTCTTTGTTTTTTGATTAGTTAGTTTCATTGGAGGGGGTGAGTCGTCACATTGGGGGACCATCGCACAAAAGTCATGTGCGGGGTCCAATTTATGAGTTCCTCTCTCTCTCTCGCCCTCTCTCTGTTTTTTAGTTCGTTTCATTGGAGGAGGCGGGTCATCATACAGGTGGACCATCATACAAACGTCATGTGTGACAGAGTAGCAAAGTCTCTCTCTCTCTCTCTCTCTCTCTCTCTCTCTCTCTCTCTCTCTCTCTCTCTCTCTCTCTCTCTCTCTCTCTCTCTCTCTCTTTTGCTTAGTACGTTTCATTGGAGGGGGCAGGTCGTCATACCGGGGAACTCTCTCTCTCTCTGTCTGTCGAGAGGACGAGTCGACATACTGAGGGACCATTGCACACGTGCGCTCGCAAACGTATGTGTGCATTTTTTGCCGTTTCTTTTTTTTGGGTCCCTGTGGACAACGAAACTGATCGGAATAGATAGTACACTTGATGTTGGGGAGGGGGGATGGTGGATCGTGGGTACTCTCTCTCTCTCTCCGCTTGCTTAGTTTGTTTCATTGGAGGGGCTAGGTCGTCATATCGTGGGACCATCGTACAAAAGTCACGCGCGACAGTGTAGCGAAATCTCTCTGTCTCACTCTCTCACTCTCTCCCTTGCTTAGTTCGTCTCGTTGGAGGGGGCGGGTTATACTGGGGGACCATCGTCCAAAGTCACGTGCGGCAGAGTAGCAAAATCTCTCTCTCCCTCTCTTGCGTGTGGGTGCGCGTGTGCACATTTTTTCTTGTTTCTTTCTTCATGGTCCCAAAGGATCATGGAACTGTTTTGTACCGAATGCACTTGACCGTGGGGAGGTGGGTTGTAGGTACTCTCTCTCTCCCTCTCCCTCTCTCTCTCTCGTGCACGTTGGGGGCCTCAAATCAGATATGAATCTGATCGGTATAGATAATACACTTGACGTACACTTGACGGTGGTGGAGGAGGGGGGGGGGGTAGGTACTCTCTCTCTCTCTCTCTCATAAAGGTTGTTGATGGACTCTCTCTCTCTCACAAAGGTGTCAATGGACTCTCTCTCTCTCTCTCTCACAAAGGTGTCGATGGACTCTCTCTCTCTCTCCCTCACAAAGGTGTCGATGGACTCTCTCTCTCTCTCACAAAGGTGTCAATGGACTTTCTCTCTCTCACAAAGGTGTCGATGGACTCTCTTTGTTTCTCTCCCTATCTCTCTCTCTTTCGCGCGCGCGATGGGGCAATCTGATCGGTATAGATAATGCACTTGACAGTGGGGGAGCGGGTCGTAGGGTCTCTCTCTCTCTCTCTCTCTCACGCACTCTAGCTTGCACGTTTTTTGCTGTTTCTTTTAATACACTTGACAGTGGGTGGGCGAGTGGGGTGGGTCGTAGGTTCTCTCCCTCTCTCGCTCTCTCACGCTCGCGCAGGCCTGTCTTCGACTTTCTATCTCTCACGCCTGCCATCCACTCTCTCTCTCTTTCGCCATCCATTAACTCTCTCTCTCTCCCCCCCCCACACACACACGCGGACACATACACATTCTCTCTCTCTCATAGTTCCAAGACAACAAAGAAAGGAAAGCATCAGGCATGAATAACAAACTCACCGTCAATCATC